GGTGAGGGAAGACAGGACGTGAAGCAAGTCAAAACAGAAAAAAAAAGCAAAGCAGGAAAGTTACATTGGTGGACATAAACAGATATAAAACAGAGAGTGGAAGCACAGCAAAGCAAGCAAGCACTGGGGATTCCGATATGTGGCATTCGCCAAAAACATTTTAATTAGCATAGCTAGTTACATGACAGAACTCCGATGGCCTTTCTAGACTTGCCTTACTTTGAATTATCATGGTCAGATCATGTGATAACAAAGGCAGCTGAACTGGATATTTTGCATTTTCACATATCAGTTAATATCACTGTCATAGTTTACTTTCTTTAAACAAAGAAGGGGATGCTGGGATTTTAAATAAGTGTTAGCCAAAATGTGATAGTGCTAAAACTAGTCAGAAAAAAGGAAAGTTAAATCACACCATTCCCAGATGATAGGCTAAAAGCCAGTTTTCCTGACATCTCTCCAGTGAAACATCTCCAATGAAACATCTATGCCACAAAAATAATCACTCTGTTAGAATAAAACGTCTAAAATACAGATAACTAAAATGAAAAACTTGTAGGATTAGACTTCTAACAAGTGTACTGTAATTCTATGTCTATCCAAAAAAGTAATAATAAATTCAACAAGATACACATTTAAGTAAGTATGCTTAGGACTGCAGCATTAAAAATTGCACAAACTCAAGGCCATTGAGTGTCACAAAGAATCTAAGCCTCAACGTGCCTGTTCTGTGTGCGCGGATTTCTTTTTCCATTCATATAATTTGCCCTAAAATCTGTAAAGCTGTAATATGAAAAGTGGCCCTATGTTTTAATGATAATGAAACTGTAAGAGCAAAAATAACAAAATAATTTACTTTATAAATGTTTGCAACTAGACTACATTTTTCCTTAACCTCTATCCCCCATCCCTAAAATACTTTTCCTACAGTCTATTACTTCCCTAAATGCAAATTCTGTCTGCTCTCCTAAAAGATGGGATCAAATTATTTACTACAAAAGATTATGAACTTTCTGAAGAACCTTAAAGAAAGAGTTCTAGCAAAGTATCCCCCTATTTATATCTGTTTTGCTAAGCAAAATTAGCCTTCCCCGCTTTGTGCTAATACCTCAAATTCAAACAGTTCAGTTTTCCTGTGCCATTCTTTTTTGGAATGCATGTCTGGAATGCAATTTACAATCAACAACTGCTATTTGATACAACAAATTAAATTAAGTTGTCATAAATAAAAAGATGTGTGAATGTTAATCTTTGAATATATCATCTTGTAATTCAAAGAACAAGAGCTCCAGGTTAGCGTATTATGTTTGTCTGCACACACATAAAATCCATATTCCAATTACTAATTCACAACATCGGCAATAGCACCAGAATCGCTTGGACCTGAGATCTTTATCTTGGACTGCAAATTTTAAGAACTAGTAGTTAAAAGAATGACTACTGGGAAACATTTTCTAACAACAACTGATAAGTTTACCAGAAGTAGAGAAAACCAGCAGGTGGCACACATTTTTTTAATCCAAAAAAAATTATTATTCATCATTGCATACGTTGATTCCTTTGGGATTCAAGCAACAATATTCTATATAAATAAGGTAAAACCTCTTTTGAGTCAGGCTCAACTCTTGGTGACACCATATATCTGTCAATGTAGTTTTCTTGGCAACAATATGGAAGTGGTTGGACTTTTTCCTCTTTCAACTTTCCAGTCTAGCCTACTGCCATCTCCTAATCATCTTCTAACCAAATGTTAACCTACTGTAATCCTGTTTAGCTTTTCATGATTGGCCAAGATTGCCCCCCCCATGAATTTATATAAAAGGAGGGACAGAATTGTACAGTGAAAGGAACCAAAGCAGTGTTTTGTTATATCTATTTCATTAAGATTTATTTATGCAAAACAGAAGTAATCCAATCAACTCCCAAAGAGCTGATTGTTTTATAAATAAGAAATACATTGTTTGCGTCATTCAATCCTCTATTAAGAAAGGTTGATTTTCAGACCTATGCTATTTTAAGCATGACTTCCTATGTACAATAGTCCTGGTTGGAATGTAAAGGTAATGACTAGCAATATACTTGAGATAAAATGAATGTGATTCTGCCAATTCCACCTAGTAGTATCAGCAAGATTTCCTTCTCTACCAATCTGCTTATAAAATAATTCACTGACAATGCATTGTTTGCCTTTACTTTGGGGCATCAAAACAGCACAGTGCTTGCATTTTCCATTTTTTTTCTGCAATCATAACAGGTATTTTTTTAAAAATTGAAGTCTCTCCAGTCACTCACATCCAGGGAAAAAAATGGAAATCAAGTATTTCAATAAAGAAAATAATAAATGACTAAATAAAATGCAGCAGACAAGGAGTTTGGGTTCTACCTGACCTGGTATGTAGCTTCCAAGTTAGAAGAATCTACCTTGCTACAAGTTGCTCAAGTATCATGATTAGTCAGAATTTAACTGATTGAAGTACATATATTTTAGATGATTACAATGTCTCTTAGCCAATTGTGTGCACATGTAAACTTACATATGTATATGGAGGCACGGACAAAGGAACAGAAGTGTTTGGTTCATGAACATCAGGGAAATACTATTTTAGTTCTATGTATCACATTTCTACAGATTTAAAAATACAATTCAACAAAAATATTATTTTACGGAGAGTGAACCTCTACATTGTACATATTTTTAAGAATTTGGTGGATTCAACCAACTGCTGGAGATGTGGTGATTAAAAGATGTGTTTCACAAAATGCTCACATATATATCAATGGCTTGGAAATAAAAATGATGACAAAAGAAATGAATATGACATGTTTTTAAAAATGAAATAAAGTTGAAAGTACAAAGTTTGAAGGCCACCCATTCTCTTTCAGTGGTGTAAAGAACTCATCTCTCTTTTTATTTTACCACCAGGAATCCTGTTTGGAAAATTAATCTGAACTAAGAAATTTGAACTATGCATACCAATTTATATGCTTAATATCCCATTTTTCTACTGTTAAGTAAAATTATTTAAACATTAAAAATTTAATTGTACAGCATGACATCCATATGTAAGACTAGCTTTGTTTAGTGGTTAAGAAGTATTTTCTTTCCTTCTTTCTGCACTGTTTTTTAAAAAATATATCCTACAGAAAAATAGTTAATGTAATATCTATTTCAAAATAAAAAAGTAAGAAATTCTCCTGGATTATAACTGCAAAAAACAGCTGGCAAAGCAAAAAAGGAGAGGTAAGAGCTAGTGTAAAGCAAGATTGGGAAGGCCTGGATGATAATCTATTTAAACACATTCCCATCCTGAGGGACTTCAAAGCACTAGTAAGCAAGCTTCCCCAAAACAAATAGCATGCTGGCCTTTCCATATTTTCAGCACTGCAAGACTGCTACCTCTAGGGTAGGAAAAACCACAGTAGCTTTTTCACAATCCACAGCTACAGTAGCTTAAGGCAGAAAATGAAGAGGTCCTTTTACATAAACCAAAGAGAATATTTGACAAGACAAGTTGAATCAAGATGAATAACTGAACATTTACAACGTAGTCCCTCTCATAGTGCTATGGCCTTTAGTCACTAGAGCATGCAGGAACAGATTAACTCAGAACTTTCAATAAAAGATATTACCACTGCAATATTACTAAAAGTACAATGTCAATCTAACAACAAAGCAAATAAGGGCAGTTCTTTGTGAAGAGAATTCTACCACCACACAAAACCATGGAAAGACTAGGAACAAAAACTGGATTTTAATTTCTGCTTCAGAGCAAGTACTGATTTCTGCGGTAGTTATGCAGGTATGGCATAACTTCAATTTCATTAACTCTATTAAAAAGTTCTTAGTCAATAAAATAAAGGTAGTTCCCATTTCATCTTTTGAAATTCTGAAATACAGTTTGTGCAGGTAGCACTACATTACATGAATAACTATGAGCATGTCTGATTTCTAAAGATATAGTTTTTATTAAACAAGGATCATTTCCACCTAACATGTCCAACCATAACACCCACCTTCATCCAGATGTATTAGACTGCAATTCCCAGAATTCTTAGTCAGCCTGGCATCTGAATTCAAAACCACCTGGAAAGCACTAGACTGGGGGAGGCAGGTCCAAAGAGTGACCTGAAAATACTTGGGTCTCTCACAAAAACTAAACATGTTTGGGATCAGGTAATCAATCTGGGAAACTACCTGTTCCTGCTGCAGATTCTGAGGAACAGAGTTGTTCAAAGGTAATATATCTTTATATAACACCATACAAACACTTATAAGGCAATACCAAAAACACAACTCATACACTGTTGTGGAATGCTGCCTACTGTTCAGTTTAGGTTTTGCTAACTTGCCCTAGAAAACTTAAAGCAATTTACATTCTGCCCAGTTCCAAGGTTGGGGTACTCTGCTCCCATTTTAAATCTTGGCTCGAGTTGTGCTTATTTAAAAGAACAATCTTGATTTTCTGCCCTAAAGCAAACTGAACAGCACTGACAGTTTGCTACTATGCTCTACCTCAGAGACAACTGCACTTCACATCAGAGAAGTCTTACTTGGCTTTTCTATACGCAGTTGCTTTTTCCACCCCAAAATATTAATATACATTTTATCTATATTTCTGCCACTTTCCACCAGAGGCATCTGGCAGAGGATTAGGGAAGAAGGTTTGTAAGACATGGTCCAACATACACATAATTTAAATAATTACCTGTTTTCATAAAGTGCTTTGACATAATCAGTAAAGGAAGGTGCTAAGCAACTAATGCAGCTGTGGACAATCAAACACGTTCTCATGCATGGCTTTATGCATCACTTTGTCTAGCCAGTCATGATGAGTTAGGCTAGATAAAGGCTAGTAAAGGAAAATACCACAGTGGGAAAGAAGCGGGGTCAGACACACATTTGGAACAGAAGCAGAAAAGTGGCAATTCTATGCAGTTGAAAGAAGCATTAGATAAATGATGCAAGAAATCCAAGCTGCGATGATAAAAAGTTCTGGTACCTGCACGTTGGGATGGAGCGGGAGCAGGGCTTAGAGTGATCACAATAACTGGATTGGGAAAAGGAAGAAAAAAACACGATAAATCACAACAGAAACAGTCAAATCATCAAAATGAAAATAATTCATGTTCAAATCAATTTCAGGACAAGGAATTCAAGGAATTCAGGTAGGGAGAAATCAACAAAGGGGACAGAAAGGTGAAAACGAGATGTATCAAACAAGTGAAGATCTGCTCTACAGTCTTATCAAATAAGTGAAGGATCAATTTTTTCCTCCATTATATTTATGAGCACTGTTCCATTAAGCTCTGTAGATTTCATCTCCCTACAAAGTAACATTCCTTTCAATAGTCTTTCTTCTTTCCTTCCTAGACAAAACCTGTTTATTAGAACTTCATCAACAACATGATCTACCACTTCACAATGATATGAAAAAATGTTTGTCCCCTTCTGGATTTTCTGAATTTTTGCACCTCTTTTCTCCAAAATGTTATCCGGGCTTCTTATGGATCCTACTGCTATATAAAGGGAGACTGAGTGATCTGCAAATAACACTAACATTTTGCTTTTGTTTCATACATTTCATAAGCATAAATCCAACATATGATGTGCCAGTGAGAAAAAGTAATTACTCCCTTGGATTCACTATTTGTATCACTTTTAGCTACAATAATTACAACTAAATGCTTCCTGTAATTGATGATCAGTCGCTCACATTGCTGGTCCATCCTGGTCCATTCCTCCATGTCAAACTGCTTCAATTCAATTTGAGGGGTTTCTGTCATCATCATCATCATCTTTATTATGGTCACAGACCAGAATTACAAATAAAAGTACATTAAAATGCATAAATGCATTAAAATGCATTAAATAAAATAAAACACAACACGAAAATATATTTACAGATTGGTGGGATCATCAATGGGCAGTCAACGTCTGCCTAATTTTACAAACAGTATAACAAAATTTAGCTACATTCAGGGAAACTAAATCATTCTGATCAGATAGCAACCACTGCACATAAAAAAGATCAGAATTTCCTGGATATTTTACCAGATGAGGAATTATTAAATGGGTCCTTGAGTCCTTATAGAAAATA